ACACGTTCTCGGCACTGACCAGCGTGGCGCGCGCCCTGGCGCCGGAGCGCCGGCTGCTGGGACTGCTGCGGCGCTACCTGCGCGGGGAGGAGGCTCGGCTTCGGGACCTGACAAGGTGAGGGCTCGGGACGCGAAGCGACAGAGAGGCCTGAGTGGCGGAGATTGGGCCAGAGGTTGAGACTGAGACACTCTTACAGGGTGTGTGTGTGGGGGGGTAACTCTGAGGCTCACCGTCACCCTGTGTCGGTTCTCAGACCCAGTGTCACACCATGAGACTGATGACACTGTGGATGTGACTCCCCAGATTCTTTGTCACCCTGTGTGGAGCCCTGAGACACTGTGGCATGAGGTGATGGAGAAATCGAGACTGAGTATGACTCCAGAGAGGCTATATCACAGTGTGTGCCCTCAGACTTTGTCACACACACGGTGGCATTCCAGATCCAGTGCCACACAGTGAAGTTGATATAATGCGGACAAGTGTGGCCGAGTGACTCTGAAACGGAGTAGGACCTCACAAGGCACCGTGTCAAGCTGTGTGTGCCCCCAGGCTCTGTGTCAGAAAATAATGTGTGATGCTGTAGCCATATTTGTGTTAACCATGTGACCCAGTGAACTGGAGTTTAGTATGAGTCAGGTGACATTCTGTGACCAGGTAGGAGACTTACATGTCATTGGAACTGAATGGACATGACACCATGGGTATCATACTCTGCATGTGAAAGATGCTGAGTAATTGCACAGGTCAGTATATGACTAATGCTTCATATTCATCAGTTCTTTCAACACATATTTGAGTGCTAAGCACTGTTCCAGGCGCTGTGGATAAAATGGTGAATACCAACCTTGCCCTCAAGAATCTTGGAGTCTGTAGCATTATGATTGTTAATCAGAGATGTCTATCTCCTCCTTTGGTTTCAGCTCCCCCTTCTCTTTACACCTGTAAACTCTCTAAATTCTAAATAAATGATAACTGAGATGTGATATGTGTGGAAGTATGACACCAAGACAACACTGGATAAAACCATCTTTGACGAGAGAGGATACTGAGTGTAGCACACACAGAAGCAGATGCTCAGCCAATATTGTTTGCTATACAAAATCAACAAATTCTAATGCTACACGCTAAGACAAAATACTGTAGACTTGGAACACTGGGGCACTGTAATCCTGTATTGACTCTGTCAATGTCAAACAATGAAAAGGATGAATGATTGTGTATGGTACCATGTGTTTGAATGTGTTGTGTATTCTCTGCTTGGGACATCGAGAAGCCTACAATGTGAGAAACAATGTAACCACATCTTTATCTGACTATATTAATTGTATATTTATGTCATGTGACCCTCTGCTGAGCTGAGACAGCAGAAGAACGTCTCACAATGTACTGCTTATAAAATAGTGAGTGAGTATATGTGATGGTAATACCAATTCTGGGGCACATGGGAAGAAGGTGTGTGGGACACTATGGCTGTGTGAGAGAGGCCATGTAGAAGAGAATCTGTGTGTAGAAGTACAGGTGACAGATCTCGTTCATTACCCAGTGGTGACTGAATGATGACGTAATTTGGAACATGCTCTTAAGTATGTAGTTTGGGTATTAGCAGTTATATGCATGTTTAAATTTATTGTTAGTTTGAAATAGCATGAAATGCATACGTATATAAGGTATATGAGAGTTGTAGTAATTATAACAATAAACGATGATAATTTTAATAATTCTTGTCACTCTTTGGAGTAGCAGAGTTGCCTAGTGTTCTATGGGCCTATGTTTACAGAGCAAAATGTTTTTTTTCTTGGTCTAGATTCATTGGAGTCCAAGTTCATTGATAGAAATAGACAGACTTTTTTACTCTTCGATTTCAGATCCCACATGCACCCGGCTACCCATGTGCTTGTTCTCTTATCACTAATCTCTTTATTTGGGTGGCCCAGATGGAGATAGGGATCAGAATCCTGATGCCATTCCAGGCCTCTCAGGGAACTGGCTCAGAGGAGAACACTTGCAGCGCTGATTAAAGCAGCTGGCCAGGGCTTTACTAATCTTACCACCATTGTCATTGTCAGAGTGGGAGGGGTCTTGCACAGATGTTCTCATTTGATTCTCTCTCACACAATGCTTTGAAATAGGTTTATATCACTCTCATAAACAAATGAGAAATGATTTAAAATATGAGAAAACTAAAGTTTAGTACTTTATCCAAGATTATAAATCTAGTAGGTAGCAGGACTAGTCTTTTGACTGTTTCTCTTTCCATCATGCTTTGATGTTCCTACAGCCTGCTTATAGGATATGCCAGGACCCAGACCAAGCCCCATAACTACTGAGGTTTTATGAGCAGCCAGAGTACATGACGGTTAAGAATCTGGATTCAGGAACTTAACAGACCTCTATTTGAATTCTTGGCTCTGACCCTGGGCAAGTTTCTTTACCTCTTTAAGCATTAGTTTCCCTAATCTGTAAAATGATGATAACGATAGCCTCATAGGGTTGTTGGAAGGGTTAAATACCATGAAAAGGCATGTATCATTGTGCTTGGGATGTAAAAATTGCTCATTAAATGTTAGCTCTTTTTGATTGTTGTTTATGTTAAGAATGGTGAAACTAGACCCCACGATTGGCTCTAAACAGTAACTAGTATTTGAGAGCCCAGATAATAAAAAAAGAATCAGAAAGATTATCTTCTCACATGACTTAGGAACATTTAATTTCAGAAAGTTTAGTTTAGTATTTGAGAGACTGTTGTCTAGTCAATGCTCTAAAACCTAGTGAAATATTTGCTTTTTTAAGCAATAATTTTGGCAGTTCCTGCTCATTTTCCTATCCCCCTAATCTAAGGGTTTTATGTAACTTGAGATGTTATTTCTAAGAGCCTCAGTTGATATCCTTCTTTGAATTTTTAAATTTAGACATGAAATATTTTTTGATGTTGAAACTACTCTCTATCCAATGTTAATAAATAAAAATTATAGTAATTATAGTATATATAGTTATATACTAGTAGAGTATGTGTATTAGCTATATATGTATTTAACCCCTAGCTTTTTGTTGTTGTTGCACTTGTAAAAAACTACCAAGATTGAAAGAGTAGTGCCAGCAGCAGTTATTTCTGTGCTAAGAATTAAGCATTCAGAATGTCTTAGAAGAACTGAGACAAAGACATTTCTGAATTCCAAACGAGAAACTTATTGAATTAAAATAGCCCATGTATTGTTGTTGGATAATCTGTCCAGGCTATGTTTAAGGCAAGGATTGGGTTGCGAATTTTATGTGCAGATTCTTGAAGAAAAGGATCTGCTTTTCCACTCTCAGCAGCATTTGCCATTTAGGAAACCCTGAGGTTTGAATTCAGCATCCAGTTACTCAGTCTCTGAAAACCAGCTATTTGCTCAGAGGCTGGGCATAGGGCCAACATTTGGATTCCAAAGCAGCCTCAGATATTAGTTGATAGGTTCTTTTTTTCTTTCTGTGACAGAAAGATGGTGTATCTGAACACTGAATTGAATCATGTGTTGCAGTAAAGATCAAACCTTTGCCCTAAATAAACTGACCCCATAATACAAAATGGGATGCAATGAGAACAAAGAGATAGTGCTTTTGATCTGATGGATGACTTGAAACATCTTTGCCTCTCTGCCCCGCCTCTTTCTCTTTGTGCCTCAGTTTCCTCTGATGCCTGTTAAATTAGTCCTTAAGCACCAGATGAGGAATTTATTTATTCAATTGCGGAAAAGGTAATGGAAAGAAATAATAGAATGATTATGCTAAAAGTACCCATAGAGATCTTCTAGACTCGACCAGGTGTGTCATTTTATAGAGGAAGAAACTGAGGGATAGTTGGACACTGGGTCAGAATAAGGTCTCTTCCCAGCTTCTCCCTATCTGACTGTCTTACCGAATCACTGCCCATTCAGCCTCAGTTGTTCCTGGACACTCTTTAGGCTGGACACAAGCCCAAGTCTCTGCTTGTAGGGGTTTTTTTTTTTTTTTTTGGTTTAGCAGTGGAATATCTTTCACTAAGTAGTTCCATATGGAGCTGAAGCAGGAAATAATGGGTAGTAAAAAAAAATATCCCATGCCATGGAGACTGGTTTAGTTTCAAAAGCCTAGGGTAGCCGCTCTCGAACAGCCCTTCTTGGGGATCAGAGACATCCTGGGACTTGACAGTCTTCCCATTTCTTCCCTGGGACACCCAGGCCCAGATTCTCCTTCCTCAGACTATGCTTGAATTGAAAATTTGGCTTTCTGGAAGCACCATGAGGCGAGTCATCTTCTATTTTCAGGTTCCGTTTTATAGTTGAAGGCCCCACCCTTGTGAAATCTTTAGGTCACACTCTGATGGAAGGAATAGAAATCCACTCTCCACTCTGCCACTGTCTCCATTCTTCACTTTCATCCCTTTCTGCTTGTGGAGTCCTCCACTCTTGCCAAAGGACTTCTATATTCTCACATGATCTTGTGCACATTCTCATAAATCCATATCCTTTTCATTTTGATCACACTTCTTTCTTTTACTTCTGTTGTTGTTGTTATATATTTTGGAAATGAATAATTTTACAACAAGGGAAAAAAATTCTTAGAGGGCAAGACTAGAGCTCTTCAATCTGCCTTATGGTAATCAAATTTCAATAAAGGAGACAGGGTCTTCTGCTTATGTGAACACTCTTGTAGGATAACCGAGGAGGAAAGAAATTACCTAGAATGATGATCGCTTGTGGCCCCAACATTTCTGGCCCTTTTCTGCAAATGACAGCAAGCCAGAAAGGTTAGAAGCGTGCTGCACAGCTCTATCTCTTTATTCCCCATTAGCCATCACCAGTTTCTACATGATCCATTTCCTAAATATCTCCCTTGAATCCGTCCTGTTCTTTTCCCCCACTGTCACTGTTATGACTTAGATTCTCCTAGTCTCTTGCTTACAGTGTCAAAATGGCCTCCTAACTGATCTTTCTGCTTCCAGTTGCTTCCACTTCTGAACCCTCCTTCCCACCCTTTCACAGATTTATAAATGTAAACATATTATAGTGCATCCCGCTCTCACTTAAAACCTTTTGGTGGTTCCTAATTGCATTTAGAGTTAAAACCGGGTTCCTAATTGCATTTAGAGTTAAAACCAGATTCCTCAGCAAGGCCGATGAGGTGCTCCTCACTTCTCCAGTGTGTTCTAACCATTTCCCAGTATACTCCGTGCTCCAGCAATATTAACGGCTTGTAAGTCCCCTACGGTTGCTCTCTGTACCTTTGCATCTGTTGAACTGTCTCTGCCTGCCTGGAAGGAGGCCTCCTCCTCCCTTCCTCATTATTTGCATTCATCCATCAAGTGTTGGTGTATTATCTCCTCTGTGAAAGGAGAGTTTATGTTCTCTCATCTGCTCTGGCCAAATTAATCACTCCCTCTGTACTCACCCCTTGGTCTTAAATCTGGTGTTGCATCTGTAATGTGATTGTTTCTGTCTATATTACCCACTAGACTGTGAATCTTTGAGACTAAGGTTATTGTCTTATTCAAAATTTTATTCCTGGCTCCTAGAAGAATATAATATTTCATTTCTTTTTTCATAGAAATATGTATTGAATTTTAGCATAGAGTGATGAGAAAAACAGCTATTTTCTTATCCATGAAATCCTTCAGCATTGGACCCTTTCTTGCTCAGTTTCTAGCGTGGGATCTGATATTTAACAAGTAACCAGTAGAGACTGACTTATTGAATGAACAAATAAAATACATGCCAAGCCTCTGTGCCTTTGTGCATGTTGGTCCCTGATGGCTCAAAAACCACTCTTCTTCCCTTCTTTGTTGTAGCTCCATGTGAAAGAGAATGGCAAATCAGCTGAGAACCCAGGCTTTAGAGTCACACAGACTTGGGTTCATTCTTGGCCTCATTGCTTATTAACAAAGTGGCCTCATTTCAGTTTCCTCTACTGTAAAATGGGCATGATAAAATCTACCCTAAGGGCTGTCGGGGGAATTAAAGGAGACTATGAATTTAAGCATTTAGCAGAATGCCTAATACATGGTAAGAACTCAGTAAGTAGTAGCTATCAATATTTTAACTAACCCTTCAGTACTCAGATCAAATGCCATCTCCTCTAGGAAGTCTTCCCTTACACCTAACTCCCACCTGGGTTAGGTTCCCTGCCTAGAGATTGTTATATCATTACATAGCATTACATGTTCGCTTCTCTCATAGCACAATTATTACAATTCACTGAACAATGTTTTTGATCTGCTACCAGATTCTAAGTATTGAATATAAGATGATGAGAGGAAAAAAGATTTTCTGGATTGTGAATTCCTTAAGAGCTGGACCCTGTCTTACCTTTGTATCTCTAGCCTCTAGCATGGAGCCTGATATACAGTAATTGACAAGTAGAGACTGACTCATTGAATGACAAATGCATGGAGCCTGATATACAGTAATTGACAAGTAGAGACTGACTTATTGAATGAACAAATGAGTGGATCTACTTTTGTAGTGTTGGTAGTTTTCTTATTCTTTGTGCTTATTGGTTAGAATATTATGTGAGTTTCAAGGAATTCAGCGTTTCATTTGAATTACTCTTAATGTTTATACCAGGCCAGCCTTCTCTCCGTTGAATGGTTGCAACATTAGGTGATATCACTCTACTACTCTCTTTCAGATTCTATGACAAGGTGGTTTCTTTGCATGAGGATTCAGAAACCCCTGTGTCTAACCCTCTGCTTGCCTTTACTCTCATCAAACGCCTACAGTCTGACTGGAGGAATGTAGTACATAGTCTGGAGGCCAGTGAGAACATCCGAGGTAATGAGGAGGAGGGCTGGAGGGTAAGAGAAGATTCTATCTCCTGACTCAGTGGAAAGGAGAGAGATTCTGATGGGATGTGATGCAGGATAATAAAGTGGGTAGGTATTGCTTGATCTCCTTAGCTCTATTACAAAGAACTAGGTCACCTTGTTAATGTGTTTATATGATTATACAATAGAAAGCATTTAATATCCATTATCTCATTTAATCTTCACCACAATCCTGTGAAGAACTACAGGTTATATCATCCCATTCACATATGTGTAAAAAGTGATGTCTTCTAATAATTTGTTTCATTAAGTTGCCACTGCAGTGCGATCTGTAGCAAGATCACCTTCCTAATTTACTTGTACTTGAAGAAGTTTGTTGACTTTGGGGAAGTTAAGAGGGAGAAGAATTGTCCCCACAAAGGGTGAGACTCCTAGAGACAGAGAGGCTGGGACAATGTGATAAAGTCTTGTGCCTTCGCTTTTACTCCTGAGCATTTCTTCCTCATTCAGAAGATTGTATTAAGCATCAGTCTGTGCCAGGAACTTGCCACTGGGAACCAAAACAAATCAAATGTTATCTTTGTTCATGAAATATTTGAACAAGTGATTATGTCCTGCATGAATTAATTGCTCACCTCCTGTTTTTTGAATGATGGAGTGATGTTTTCACAACGTTTATAGCTCTGAAGGATGGTTATGAAAATGTGGAGCAAGACCTGCCAGCCTTTGAGGACCTTGAGGGAGCAGCAAGGGCCTTGATGCGACTGCAGGATGTGTACATGCTCAATGTGAAAGGCCTGGCCCGAGGCGTCTTTCAGAGAGTTACTGGCTCTGCTGTCACTGACCTATACAATCCCAGAAGGCTTTTCTCCCTCACAGCGGATGACTGCTTCCAAGTTGGCAAGGTAACAATATTCAGAGAGAGGGCGAATTGCTTGGCTCTGGTTTCTTGGGAAATAACTATATCCCAATTGTTTTTACGTGTTTCTAATCCTTACAGCAAACTTAGAAATTTGGTGTTATTTTTCATTTTCAGATTAAAAAAAAACAAAACAACAAGAAAGGATAAATAACTCGCCTAAGGTTACACAATTTTAAGCAGCAGAACTACAATTTGAGCCTGGGTCTTGTAACTCTGAATCCCCACTCTTCCCATGATAGCTAAAGTGATCATATATTTAGGACATTCTTGAGAATGAACTCCGGGATGTTATTAGCCAGGACAACAAACATAAACTGGGCTGTCCTGCGTAAAATGGTCCTTTGGTCACCCTAACTGTAGCTCCGCTGGTTGTAGAGGAGCAGCTGGGTAGAAAGGAGAAGCAGGATTAAGGGTGGAAGAAGGGGTAGGAGATGGTGAAATGAAGGTAAAATCATGGAAACTCAGATTCCTGAGACTTTCTATAATGTCTTGCACATTTCCTAGGCATTTAGAAACACTAAATTAATGTCACAAAACCGGGCATTCACTCTAACAATACTTGAGGAAAAAGACCAGGAACCTTCCACATGAGATATTTAACTGATCTTTGATCATGAGTTACAAGTACACTTGAGGTCATTTTACAGTATACTCTTTGTTAGCCTTGGCCTTAAAAAGTAAGGGAGTAAACCTTTTTTGAATTTGAAGATGTGTATTGCAGGAAAGTGAATTTTTGCCAACCCCTGTTGCATTCATTAGCCAGTCTCAGAGTGGGCCTTGTGTGTCCTGATTCCAAGTTTTGAGGATCAGTCTTCCAAGTTAATGCAGAGTGGGTTACCCTAAGCTTCTGTACTTATACCATTTTCCCTTTTCTGAGATCCTGAATGAAATCAGAGCTCAATCATCATGTTCACGGTTAATTTAAATTTGAGGCCATTAAAATAGTTTCACGTATGGTATCAATATATGCTTCATTAGTGAAGCCTTTCTGAAACTAAAACCATAGTAAGTTAATGAAAGTCTCACTCACAATCTGTATTTTCATATCTATTTACTTGTCAGATAAAACATTTCAAATATAAGAAAAGTACAATAACAAGCAATTATACCTATAATTGAGATTAAATATATGTTCAAATTTTGCTATATTTGTTTCAGATTTATAAAAAAGAATTTATGTATAGCTAAATAATGGCTCATTCCTTTTTCTTCTCACCACCTCCTACCCTTTCTATTCTACCCTTGCCCAGGTACTGGGCAACTGTTGTCCTGAACTAATTAGTATGTATTCTTCTGAATCCAGCTTCTTTTACTCAGCACATTATATCTTTGAAATTCATCTATGTTATTGCATTTATTAGTAGTTCATTCCTTTTTATTGCTTAGTAGTATTCCATTGTATGACTATACCACAAACTCTTTATCCAGTCTCCTGTTGATTGATACTTATATTGTTTCCAGCGTGGGCTACTGTGAATAAAGCTGCTGTAAATTATCCTATGTAAGTCTTTCGGTGGACATTTGTTTTCATTTCTTTTGATTAAATACCTAGGAGTGGTATCGGTGCGTCAAAAAGTAAACTTTAATAATTATTAACATGTAGTCAAATTTGTTTCATCTACACATATCCAGTCTCCTCCTCCATGAATTATTTTAAAGCAGATCAGTCTTTCAATTTTCTGAAATTCGTAATGGTCTAATTCTACTACTCTACTATTCTGTCTGTCAACTCAATCAACTATTTCCTGGTATGGTTTATCATGTTTGATTGTGAGCTTATTTTTAGCAGAACTTTTTTCCCTCTAAGAGAATCTCTGTGCCTAGATTTGTGGGAACATCCCTCCAGAGAGTTTTGGGTTTTCTTTTTCTAGATACTCTGGTGGTATCACAGGCCTTAGATCTCTTTTTCTTACCTGTAATTACATCCATATGACCTAGTTATTTTATAACTGGAATTTTATACCTTTTGACCTTTTCACCCATTTCTCCCCCACCCCACCCCTGGCAACCAATTTGTTCTCCGTATCTATGGGCTTGGAGTTTTTTATTTGTTTTGTTTTGTTTTTGTTTTTTATTTTCGATTCCACATGTATCTGAGATTGTGTGGTATTTGTCTTTCTCTGTTTGCCTTATTTCACTTATCATAATGCCCTCAGGAGGTTCACCCATTTTGTTGCAAATGGCAAGATTTCATTCTTTTTTATAGCTGAATAATATCCAGTGTGTATGTATCACATCGTCTTTATCAATTCATTCATTGATGTGCACTTAATGTGTTTTTATATCTTGGCTATTGTAAATAATACTGCAATGAACATGAGGTTGCACATATCTTTCCGAGTTTGCATTTTCATTTTCTTCAGATAAATGCCCAGAAGAGGAATTCTGGATCAAATGGTAGTTCTATTTTTAATTTTTTGAACAACCTCCATACTTTTTTCCATAGTGGCTGAATCTATTTACCTTCTTACCAATAGTGCACAAGGGTTCCCTTTTCTCCACATCCTCACCAACACTTGTTATTTCTTGTCTTTTTGATAACAGCCATTCTAACAGGGATGAGGTGATATATCATTGTGGTTTTGATTTTCAGTGGCTTTAGATCCGTTTTTATATTGATTTATTGGTCTAGGAGTTCCTTAACTCTATGAATAATGCAAACTCAAACCCTAAACTCATGTGAAACATAGGTTTAAGGTTCTGACTATTCTAAGGAGATGTTTTATTTCCCTAAACAGAGCCCAGACAGAAAGAAATCGACTTTCTTGCCTCCTTGTGATTGTGGGTAGATTTTTTTCTGGTCTACTCTTTTCCTTAAGATGTAGTTTTTCATGGTTTTCAGTTTTATGAGTGTGTCTTAATTCCAATTTCTAGGTTTTGGGGAGGTCTGCTGAAGGCTTTACTATCCTTATGTGGGCATTATAACCTAAAGTTGCTAATACTAACACCCACCCCTAGGCAGCGTCAGCATCTGCTTGTAAGCTTATTGATTGGATTTTAAGCTCCTTTTTTTGTTTCTGGTACCTAGATATTTTCCATTCTTTCTTGAAATTATAAAATAAAATATTTGTTATGTTTTATTAAAAATTTCTAACTCTATGTTTAGAAGGATTCCAATTATCTCAGTCTACCATATTGCTGGGACTTGAAGTTCTTCATGGACATCTTAAATAAATTGTTAACTTAGCAGAAAAAGGTTCAGTCATTTTTTTTTTTAATTGTTATTCTTCAACTCAGCCTTTTTACAAATAGGAAACTCGAGGACCAGAGAAATAATACAACACATTAATGGCTGACCTGGGGTAGGAACTGACTTAGTGTTTAAGCTGCTGAGTCATGGTATCTCTAGGCTCTGCTGCCTTTCTGCCTGTATGGAAGTCATTTCTGAGTTAGACCATTTTTTTAGAGTCCTCCTAACTCTGTAACTTTTTAATTCCACGCTGTCTCCACCATCAATTTCCAGGAAATTCCACCTGCAGTTCTGGTTTTCTAGTTAACTGTAAGCTATTAGGAGACAGGAGCTAGTACATGTTGCCAAATCCCTAGCATTCAAATATTTGATATAAGACAATCTGCTGAGCTCTCGTAGCATTCCCAGGTCTACCTTCATTATGGTATCTAATGCATTGTGTCGCAATTATTGGTTTATCATGTGCTCCTCATTTAACTGTAAGCTCTTTAAAGGCAGGGACCACCAGCTACATTGTGAATATTCAGTAAATAGTGAATAAATAAATGAATGAATTTAATCCATTCCTCACATTGCTACCAGCAATATCTTCCTTAAAACATAATATTCACGACTCTCATTGCTTAGCCCATGCTGTCTTTTTAAGTTCATATCCTGCTTCTCTTCACCTTACGCAATAGCCACATTAATACTTGAACAAACACATTTGTGCTTTTGGCTTACGTTTCTACCATTCCCTCATCTTAAAATGCCTTTCCTCCCAATCTCTGCTTATAGAAATAATTTCCTTCTTCAAGTAAGTCTCATCTCAGATGCAACTTCTTCCGTGAAGCCTTCTGAGATTCCCAGGTCTCTTCCTTTCTCTACATACCCCCAGCATATTACATATTTTCTTCTAGCATTTATGCCATTCTTCCCCGTATTATAGTTAACTTGAGTTTATATCTCTCTTATCCCCAGATTATAAATTTCTTAAATGCAAGAACCCTTGTGTCCTATCTATACCTAATACAATGCTTTATAAATAATAGATGCTTAATAAGTTTAATTTAAATGAATTTGAAATGAAAACTTCCCTTCTTGGGTTACAAAGAACCTCCACTCTTTGTATTGTCATTTCCTTTCCTCTTCCTGTGGATGAAGGCCTTAATGATGATGCTTATGTTCCCTACAGGTGGCTTATGACATGGGGGATTACTACCATGCCATTCCATGGCTGGAGGAGTCTGTCAGGCTCTTCC